CTGGTCACCCTCCCCTTTGCTTACACACAGCTGTTTTGCCCAGTGTGATTATAGGCTCTGCTGAAAGATAAGTGCGATCATTACCGCTCAACTGAGAGGTTTATGTCATGTGATCTCATCCCTGTCGCTGTGGTGCGGTCATCCCACCGGCTCAGGTGTGAGCATGTGAGCGCTTCGACATTTACAGCTACCCCAGCCTGACTGAAACCTCAAAACCACCAGAGTGATATCATACTAACAGACTGATAGTGACTCTTCACAAACAGGAGCCAAAGTGTGTTTACATATTGTTGTTATGGAATCACCTTGGCCACCACAGCAATGTGAAATTCCCTGCGCTGTCAATCTAAGGCCTTCTGAAAGTTGCATGTTGTGCCGGTTCATCACATAACTTCTGTGGAATGAGCTCATGGTGAGAAACAGTGAACTGCAGAAGTAGATAGGGTGCAGCTCATCTCTCCAGTGAGTGACACACACACACCGTACTTAGATTAGAGACACCCAACACCAGCAGTCAGCCTAGCTATCTCTCTCCGCAGCCTGCCAGGGCCAGCTGGGCCGTGATCTCATGGTACCATATCTGGCCAAGCGCGAGCAAGAGAGCTGGAGATGGGTAGGGTGGGGTGAGAGGGGATGCTGCCTGCCGGCTCGCTGCGTAATCTCATCTTGCTGCGGTTACTGTAAGTGGACTGAAGCAGGAATATGAGAGTTAGCCGTTAAAGTAATGACTCTGAGAAGGGCAGAATATTTACAGTTGAACCATAAGCCTGCAAATGTTTGGGGTATCCCAGGATGGCAAAACATTTCCCCAGGCAAAAAAGCAGCATTTAGATATTTTGACATCACAGCACAACACACTGTTCTTCTTTTAGCCAGGTGAAAGCAAGGCCCTGTTAGCATCATCACATTTTCACATTTTCAGCTGAACAGTCATGCAGTGGTTATAACTGTTGCTTTAAAACTAAAAGGTTCTGGGGTCAAATCCACCAGCCAGCTTGGGGCCTTTCCATGTGGAGTTACTTTCTGGGTAATTCAACCTCCCCCAACCAAAAAACTTGCACATTAAATTAACTGTTGATTCTGAATTAGCCTCAGTTGTGAGTGTGAATGGTATTTTGTCTCTATGTGTGATAGATTGGTGACCTGACCAGGATGTACCCAGCCTCTGGCCCCGTGGCAGCTGGGATAGGCTCCAGCCCCACTGTGACCCTGAATTGGATAAGCAGAAGAAAATGGATGGATGAACAAAAGGTTATCACGTTACCAACTGCCAGTCTTGTTCAAGTGGGTCAGTGTCAAATAAAGGAGATTCATCAGCAGTGTTGGTCAAGTTACTTGAAAATAAGTAATCAGTAAAGTAACGGGATTACTTCCCCCAAAAAGTAATCCCATTACTTTACTGATTACTTATTTTCAAAAGTAATTAATTACTTAGTTACTTAGTTACTTTTTAAAAACACGATTTACAACCTGAATAGGTGATAAAGTGATAGATCTTTCAGCCCAATTCTATTTTTTCTGTATCATCCATCATACAAAATGTAATCAAATGGAAAAGTCCCTTTTTAAAACTTGTTTTATTAGTTTGAATCTTTTAACGTTATGCATCAAGCAAAAATTTAATTATATGCAACATTCTCTGATTGGAAGAAATTTGTTTAATATTTAAAGCTATTTTCTGCACATTCCAGCACATAAAATATTTTTTTGTGTGTGTTTACACTCACTTTTTCAAATAGATGCAAGTAAAACACAGCAGAAAATAAATAAAGTCAAAGACTCAGCGGTCCTTTTGCTCTCTTTTCACCTGTAAAGCAGGAGTAGGGTAGGCGGAGGTTTACCCTGGTGCAGGTGTGCCGCAGCGGTCAGTGGAAGAATCCGCGAGTTTCTCTGTGAATTTCCCATTATGTCATAGCGCACTCGGTGCTTGCTCGGAAGTTTAGGGGTTTTTTTCACTGTAAAAATAAGTTTTCTTCCCACGCACAACGGACACTAATGTTTTTGTCACTTTTTACGGAATCAAACTCAAAGTAAGGTCAGTACTTCCACGCTTTAATAAATGCTGCATGCTCATACTCTCTCCCGCACTCGATATATTATCCATTGTTGATCTGCACACAGCTGTTTTCACAAACGTCGCACTTGCTTACGTCACTGTCATGAGACATTCTCGCAAAAAAAATCACGGCTTTAGTAACGCAGTAACGCGGCGTTCCTACGGGAAAGTAACGGTAGTCTAATTACCGTTTTTGCAATAGTAATCCCTTACTTTACTCGTTACTTGAAAAAAGTAATCGGATTACAGTAACGTGTTACAAGTAACGCGTTACTGCCCATCTCTGTTCATCAGTTTAGGAATTGTTTCTAAATTGGAAAGATTATCTCGAAATAATTCTGCTTTCAAATACAGCTCACGTTCAAAAGCAGTAGCTTTCCATTTTAGCTAGTGCACTGTTTTGCTGAGAGCTGGTTATAAAATCATAGAACTGTTTTATACCTCAATTCAGTCTGAAGCTTTATGCTTCATAAAATGCATCTAGAGTTTTGCCATTGTGGGGAATGACCCAGAAAAAGTCCTGTGCATAGCTTTTTGGACAGATTAAACACACATGTGACATTTTTATTCTACTTACAGTGCAAGGTGGAATTTGTAACATTTGGAAAAAGCATTAAAAGTTTCAGGTAGAGAAAATGTCTTTCCTGGCTAAGTGTTGTGCCCTCGTGTAGAATAAGTCCAGTGAATAGTCTCACTGGAATTAAAATAATTTAAAAAGCAAACTACTACTCAAACTACTCTGTTTACCATTTTCTGTGTCACAGCTGAAAACACTAATATTCCCAAGTTAGACTACATCTGTCTGGTCTCATTGCCTCACTTTCAGTCTATCGTGGCTCTAGATCTCTGGCTCAGACTCTGTGCAGACAGTCGGCTGCCTCAGCAGTCTGGACTGTTGCTCCAGGCTTTTGGCACCCCAGCCAACACAGGGAGAAGATGTTTGTTACTATCGTGCAAATAGCAGCAGGAGAGACAAGAAGTCCTTTCCAGCAGCTAGTTTTTTTGTTCTCTTGTAGCACATATTATACCTGTACCCAAAAGGAATGCAGAATAAATACAAGCATGTTGCTGTTTTCTAGTCTTGCATAGTGCTTGTATGAGTTGAAGGAATTAGGCCTATATTATGCATAATATAGGCATGTTTATTGCTGTATATAGGCCTGAGATAGGCATACTTGCATGTTTTAGAGAGCACAAAGAAAAATCAGATCTATACCAACTTCTATCTAAACTAGGTCAAGGATTTAGTCAACAATGCTCCAAGTGCTTAATTGTGACTGCTATACGAACACAACACTTTGTTTACTCAGGCCAATATTTATATTCTTGATAAAATAGGTCTTATCTGGGGCATTAAATATTGCTTTTTGCAAAAACAGGTCAAGATTAGACACAACTGTGTCTGCTGTTGCTACGGCTTTTTTTTTTTTTTTTCATTGCAGAAAACAAAGAGGGCTCCACAAAGAACACTGACCTGTTTGGACAAAAAGCCTCAAATCTTTTGGAGGCTTTTGGAAAGGTGTGCAAAATAAAGAAAAAAATGGAATTATTTTTTCAGGGCTCTGTCATTATTTTCTAAATGTTTTACATGTTTCCTAGTCTGACCTGTGACTTGGCTGGGACTTTTATAGGTAGGGACAATCATTTCTCACTCAGATATGATTAGGTTTCATGTTTAATCACAGAATCCAATGCACACCAACCACAGACAACAAGTGATCACCAACCACATTAGTCTTCATATTGTTGTCCCACAAGCCTGTTAAGTCCCAATCTACAGTTTTGACAGCACATGCAATAAAATGACTAGTTTTTATCATTTAGCATTTATGGTAATTTCTCCCATGTCTCCCATATGCCTACTAGTGCAGATATTAAAGCCCATGGAAAGTCCCCCAGATAGAAGCCTGCATTCTTTTTTCTTCTTTAATTCTGACTGAGTGAACCTTCCTCTGTTCTGAGAACACTGAGCAATCACCTGACATCTGTCTAACACAGCATCCTTTGGTTGTGTGTGCATGTGTGCTATGCATGATCTTGAGCACAACTTTGTGCAAGATTGTGCACATGCAGTAGCCTGTTTTGCTTCATGCTTTGTGTGCACCTGTGTGCTCATGCGAGTACACATGCAGAGAATGACCAGCGGTTGGCTGGCGACTGAGTTGCTGCCAAGAAAATCGAAATGAGTTCCTCTGAAGTCTGGTTTCTCTTTGATGTGGGCTACCTTTTACTGTCAGCTTGAGCTCTGAGCTGACCGCAGCACTCACACACTTCCCCATACCTGCCGTTGCTGATCTGCTGACCCTCATTCAGCTGCAGCTCTCATCTCGGTATAATTTTCAATGTGCACGTGGCTGTGTGTGCACGTGGCTGCAGGAATAGGAAGACCTTCCCTAGATTTGTTACCGTGTATTATGCATAAGTTCTACGTTGTTGAAAATTGACTTTTTTAAAATCAAAATCAAGCATGAGAAGAGTGATGTTAAATTAATTTGTAACAAATTTGTTTGAATGTACAAAACTACAACTAACTCCACTGTCTACTGACCTATTAGTTAGCCACACACGCACACACAGCCTTCAGTTCCAGCCTAAGTAATTGTGCACTGTGCTATAAGGCAGCTAGTGTATCAGCAGTAAAAGGTCAGTGCCTGCAAAAAACCCACATCTCAGTCATCATTACATTATAACTTTTAGCTTCCCTTTTCTTCATTTACTCTCTCCCTCTCAGCCACCTAATCATTTGATCTTTACTTTCCTTCCACCCACATTGTGCGATTAGCTTCTTGTGAAGCAGAGTTGTAACCAGTAGCACCACACTTTCCTGATACCTCTGCATCACTGCAGTCTGCCATGACGCCCCACATTATGTGGCACCCTAGGTGTTAGTTAATGTCTGTGTAGCTAAATGTAAAGGAGAAAATGAGATTTCTGAGAAGATGAGTTTGATTCCAAATGTTTATTCACAAAGCATTTCAAGTCAGTACAACACAAATCAATACTGCATTGCTGTCTGCATATGTGAAAGAAAACTGAATAGTCCATTAAAAAAGTGTCAGCTTTACATCAGGATTTGCAAGCAGTTTCTGCTTATTCCAAGAACTTCCTGACAGCTGCACTCATAAAGAAAAGTCCTTTGTTTAGACACTTTCAGACACCTTCTTCTGAATCTGCACCTGACTTGTTCCCCTCTGACGAGTCCAGTCCACTTTCTTAAGTCCATCTCTTGCACAGTATCGCTCTCTGTGACCTTCTCTGCTTAGTCCCGCCAGTCTGTTAAAGGGCAGTCACTGGGTTACCATTTGCCATCTTTAAGGTACTATGCAGTACAGTCCAGCTCCATTCTCAGTGTCCATCAGGCGTTCTGTCCACTCCACATACACCTGAACAAGTTCACACATGAGGTCTGAACCCTTGCACAGGGTAATCCAGAACCAACGGGCTCACCCAGGATGCACTGGAAGAGTGTGCTCTTGCAGAAGGGGGGAGTTACAGCCACAGCCTCTTAATCCAGACATGTGAGGCAGAAAGGCATGAGGCCCCCAGCTGAAGCTCAGCTCCTTGACTTTCTTTTCATCATCATCATAATCATGTGAAGCAACTTCAGGGGGGTGTCACTTCAGCGCTCTGGGAGTGTGATAGTGGGCACCCAGTCATACACACTGCGCCTTTCCTCACAGAATACACTCAGCTTGTCCAGAGCAGGGTCTTTCCATGGGTTTGCACTAGGGCTCTGTAATTGTAAAAGAGGGAGATATTTAGAGTCACAAAAGTGGCAACACCTACAAGACATGCAAAGAAAGTCAGACACAGTAGTGATGCATGTATGATTCACTGGCTACCAGCTCCTAACTGAGTGGGAACGTACCGTGACAAGAATGCAGTGTGCGTCTTTGGGCTCGCCGGTTTCATCGGCACCCACGAGGTCGGCCAGGCGGTCGATATCATTGACACGCACCACGTTGATGTCGTTGTCAAAGCAGAAAGCCTGGATGAGAGTGAAGTGGATCTGAAGAGCAATGTCACACTCGTATTCCTCATCGGTGGCGAGAATGCAGAACGCCACGCTGTCTGGGTCACTGTAGGAAAGACAAGAAAGGTGATTAGCGCATATCCTGCTGTGCGTGTGCTCGACTTTTTTTTTCTTTTCTGTTTTTTAAAGGGCAAATGTAACTGAAAGTGGCACGAAATGCAATACTTACACATTCATGACTTTGGCAGATTCGTAAACTCCAACTGTCAGGTAGTCCTGCTTCTTAGCAGCGATCAGCAGCTCCTCCAGGGCTGCGCCTGCACTTTGCACCCTTAACAAAGAAAAATACATCATCAGCACACTGATCACATTACCCTCCCCAAAAATAACAGCTACAACGCTTTAATCCAGGAGCTTAAATAGCGTTGTATCGATGAGTAAAATATTCACCTATCAGCGTTTTCCATTGTGTTCTCTTGTCCGTGAATCTCTTCCAGAGTCATAGTTATAATCCAAGCGCGATCGGGATGTTGCAGTGTTAAGAAAAGGCTGTGTAGTTGTCTGTGTAGTCTCTTGCGTTATTCTGAGCTCGGAACAGTCTGTGGGTGGCTTTATACCGCACTTGGCGTCGTTTCTCGGCAAGGGGCGGTCTTTCCGATCCTGTCTCCTACCATTGGCTCAGAGAAGCTTTGGTGAGGAAAGCAAAAAAAAAGTCCCAGAGCAGTCGAACTGATCTTGTTGACAACCCCACGTGGGGCAAGATTACAACCTTTCAAGAAATCCCCCCCACCCACTCCCGATTTCTCCTTTTCTTGTCAACATCCAGCATCACCACTAAGGGCAAAAACTACAAGTGATGTTTACGATGAACTTTCACAGTCATTGCAAACAACATTGTTTTGTTTTGAACCACTGTGGCTTCAGTTTGCCCCTGGACACGATGACATGTTTATGATATTTAGAAAACATATAAGTCACACATACACAGTCAGACATTCTAAGAGATTCTCTTTTATTTATTATTATTATCATAGTTTGCAGAGGCGTTATTTACCATTTCGTAGCAACATCCCCGGTTTTTGGAATTATGTAACTATTACGCCTCGTGTTTTTCCACAGTGGGCATAGAAGAATTCAGACTATCCTACAGGTGACAACAGAACTGAGTGTGCGGATTAGCCGAGGGAAAATTGGCAGATCTTTTTTCTGTGGGTGAGCCGCATTAAAACTGTAGCGACGATTAATTTGATGTGTGATAAACTCTGGAACAATCCTTTATCGGAGTAGCGGATTTCCCCAGTCTGGAGAGTCACTGGGGAAATATTTATATATATCATCTATCCGAACTTTCCTTGTGCAGCTTTCCATTGCTCTTAATAAACAGCCGGTTCCTGGTGCACCTGCTTGGCGCGTCATACCCTACTAACCTGTTACTCAACGTGCTCATGTGTTTACAGTCTGCCCAGCAGTTACCGAAATGTCCCCGGAAGGAAAATCTGCAAGCCTGTCCTGACCCGAATAGGACCAGAATTCTTGGTGGCGATGTGTTTTGTGGGAGTGACCAACCAGCTTATGGCCACACGCCAGTTTTTGTTCGCCTATTGAAAAAGCAAAGGCTTAAACAGTTTGTCTGGGGCGCGTGGCATTTCTGCACAGAGGTAAAGTGCAGCTCCGCCACACAACATCACTACATCCCTCCACCTGTCTCCGGACTTTCCATGGCGCTGGGGGATGTGGATCAGTATGTGTGTGCGTCCTGCGTGTTTTATTACCCAGATCTATTCAGTGCCCTGCGCCAGATGCCCGACAGATGCGCACGGGCCCTTCCCAAAAAAAGCGCCACGCGTCGCAGCCGCGCCTTTTCTGGTCAGTTTATCTTATCGGTGGGATAAGCACGTGTTTACATTCATCATCAGTCCCTTTTTTCCGACAGATGTTGCGACCACAGCGAGGCCGTGCATGTAACTGGGTTGTTGTCTGAACTTGTCCACGTGTGAGCAGTTAATGAGCACTGAATGTGAATGAATTACCAAAAACCTCACAACTTCACAACTTCTCCTATCTATCTATGAGGTCTAATATCTTCTTAACAAGTGAGACGTGCCCACAAATGGGCCTAATTACAGGAATAACGCGCTCTGTTAAAGGTTGTTTTCATGATCTGTTTCATGTTAAATGGTGAGTCAAATAATAAGCCAAGCTGACATTTGTTTGGACGCAAAAAAATGCCTACATGATAACGGAATGACCTTTAACCTAATCTAGCCTACACAGTCAACTGATGAAAACAAACTTGGCCCGCAGCAAACAGAGGGCTTTGTGTCACAAATCTGGATTTACACCTCCACCTGCTGGCGTGTCCTTTAAACAACTTGTCTCAACATGTTGAATAAGCCACATGACTCATGATTCCAGCCTTACAATGGTGAGTCACCAACCAGTCTCTGTGCTGTTACCCTCCACACAGCTGAGGTCAGACAAATACTGTTTTCCAGTCATGGAGCAGGAATAGCAAGGGGATACAAAAACAAGAGATTTGCAAGTGGAAAAAAAAAGAAAGAAATAATAAAAGGTACATTTACATAATATAAAGTTAGAACAGGATTACCCATGCATAAATTCACATTTTACTCACATATAAATCAATAAAGTGGTCTGTTAAGACAAACAATAAAGAGGTCAGACGATTTGGATAAGGTTATACAATAGGGGGAATTCCAGAGTGCCTGTGAAAACCCCACTGGAGAATACATTAGAAATATCTCTCATGTGATCTCGAGGAAAACACCTGACTATGTTACAAGGTGTGGCAAACAATTCCAGTGAGAGTTTATAACTGTGAGATTGTAAGTCCTCATTTCTCTGCCAATGTGGCTGCAAAATTGCACAGCACACCTGCAGAAAAGTTGGATAGGTAGAAAAGTGAGTGGAGAATATTAAATAAATCCATCTCCTGTAAGTGGGTTGACTAGAATTGGTAGCAGGCTTTTTTTCACAACCCTTGTTTACGTCTTAGTCTTACTATCAGGACGTTAAAAAAACCGTCTGGTGCTTACCAGTTTCTAAAAATATTTAAATCCTTCCTCAGACGAACAACACGTCTTATTACGCTGTTTAACTGTGTGTGTGTGTGTGTGTGTGTGTGTGTGTGTGTGTGTGTGTGTGTGTGTGTGTGTGTGTGTGTCCAAAATCTACATACACCGTATGATTCAGTATTTTTAGTTGCAATGACTTTACATAACTGTTTTCTGTATCAGCCTCTGACATCAATGTGGTCGAATTTAAGCCCAATCTTCTTCACAAACATTGCTTCAGTTTGTTGAGATTTGCAGGCATTTTTTGCGCTTTAGGTTCCCACCACGTCATTGTAGTTGGATCTGGACTGCAACACCTTTATCCTTTTTTCTTTTTCAGCCATTCTTTTGTAGATTTGCTGTTGTGCTTGGGACCATTATTCCTTTGCATGACCCAGTTTCATCCAAGCTATAGCTGTCAGTCAGGTGGCCTCAGATTTGTCTCTAGAGTACTTCAGTATACAAAAGAGTTCACGGCCAACTCAGTGACTTAAAGGTGACTGGTTCTGTGGTTATATCCAAATCATTACCCCTGGCTGTCCTGCCATGTTGTTTCTTATGGCCTGGTAAATGGCCTGTATTTATATAGCGCTTTACTAGTCCCTAAGGACCCCAAAGCGCTTTACATATCCAGTCATCCACCCATTCACGCACACATTCACACACTGGTGATGGCAAGCTACATTGTAGCCACAGCCAACCTGGGGCGCACTGACAGAGGCGAGGCTGCCGGACACTGGCGCCACCAGGCCCTCTGACCACCATCAGTAGGCAACGGGTGAAGTGTCTTGCCCAAGGACACAACGACCGAGACTATCCAAGCCGGGGCTCGAACCGGCAACCTTCCGATTACAAGGCGAACTCCCAACTCTTGAGCCACGATCACCCCGATCGTTTCTTAGAGAAGAGGCTTTCAGCAGAGGCAGCAGAAGGTGTTCTTTTAAGATCATTGCTTTTGGTTTTCTTCTTTGATATTGTGTTAAAACACCCCTGGATGACCTCAAGTGGTCAAACTTGCTCGTGATCAGTCAATCAACTGCATGCAATTAGCAGCACTTGGCTGCTACCTACCCTCTTATTTCCCATGATTACCTTTCCATCCATTTTCTGCATTTTTGATGTCCCGAGACATAAATCCTTAGACTTCAGAAAGTATACTTTCTTTTTCACATCTGCATCTCTGCATCAACGACATGGATGATGAGTTACTCTGACATATAAAAAGTTTATTATAGTTGTTCAGACATGTCTTATACATAAAGTGTTGAAATGTACATAAAGAGCTACAATCACTTTTTTAAATATTTACATGTTATTCTTGGACTACACCAAATGCCAGTGCTTTTTGTTCAAAGTGATTAACATTTAAAATCTCATTGCCTGTCAAGTATAACAAAAAGTAGCCTCGATACCATTTACAATACCAACAGTAACAAAGAAAAAATACACAAAAATAAAAAATGCATCACTGATAAAACAGGTCATAACATTTTGGAGCAATATTTACTGCAAGTTTACTGAGCAAATAAGTCAAACCCCTCATTCTGCTCATCGTGTGCTAAGATATTCCAGACAAGTTTACGAAGGTAAGAATTGTGCAGCGAAGTTATAAAAGAGAAGATCGCAGGGGCAGAGTTGGTTAGCCAACAACGGTTAAGTCCAGGATTCAGGTTCTTTTATCACATTTTGCGCCGCTTTACTGTACAACATAAAAACAAAGCATTCACAAATTAAAAGGAGCATGGATACCCTTGTTACAAGGGAGATAATGACAAACTTTACAAGTCTTTAAAATGGCCAAATGTCCTGCAATGGCTTAAGCATTACTGTGGTCAAACAACCACGGTGATCAAGCTTTATGAGAATCAAGCACTCTATCTTCTACTACTTCATAAACGTTGCTGACTAGTTTGCAGCACAAACGACTAGACTACTTTTCATAATAATTTACTATGGCTATGATAAGTATGATTTTTGGGAAGTCACTGATAAGCAGCATTTGTTAGCACTGAGATCCGCTGGACATTTTCAGATAAACTCACTCAAGATTTAGTGACAGTCGGGCCATCAATTCATGTCTGTCTTTAAGTAATCTACTGCCCATTCACTTCAATTATTCCTGTGCTGGTGAATAAATGCACAAATTTAGGCAAAGCTCAACATGTTGTACGATAATTTGACAGCTCTCAGTGCTAACTCAGTAGCATGTGCCCTCTAGTAATGCAGGCATTTGTTTAATCTCTGCAATGTCCTTTTGAAATATGAAAATATCTCCCCAGTTTCTTTTGACCGCTGGAGAAGGGAAACAAGAACAAAGTGCAAATAAAGTAACTAGTAGAAGACTTTCAGAAGGGAAAAGCATGGACGAAAAGATGGATCTTATATCTGGAAGAATAACTGCATTATTCCCTTCTCCCTTTTTTTAATATTAATGTTCCCTCTGGCACCCAAATCATTAGGAATACAGCTCCCTCTGCTGGTTATACTGAACAACATGTCCTTACTACATCTCATCA